CCATTTCATGACTTTTTTTTGCCACAGTTGTTAACTGAATCACTGCAGTTGTTATTAACAAGGTTGTTAAATGAAACTGGCTCCCCCATTGACTTTGCTTGTCACAACAGATGATTACGTGACCCCAGGACGCTGCAACCGTCATAAATAGGGGCCAGTTGCCAAGCAGCCAAATTTTGACCAAGAAAACCAAGATCATGGCATCCGGCCCTCTCAATTCCTGGCAAATAGATGGGGAAGAAATGGAGGTAGTGACAGATTTTATGTTCCTGGGCTCCAAGATCACCACAGATGGGGACTGCAACCAAGAAATTAAAAGACGCTTGCTGCTGGGGAGGAAAGCTATGGCAAATCTAGACAGCATACTAAAAAGCAGAGTCATCACCCTGCCAACAAAAGTGCATATAGTCAAGACCATGGTTTTCTCAGTTGCAATGTATGGCTGTGAAAGTTGGACCATAAGAAAGGCTGAGCGCCAAAGAATTGAGGCCTTTGAATTATGGTGCTGGAGAAGACTCCTGCGAGTCCCCTGGACTGCAAGGCGATCAAACCGGTCAGTCCTAGAGGAGATCAACCCTGACTGGTCTTTAGAAGGCCAGATCCTGAAGTTGAAACTCAAGTACTTTGGCCACCTAATGAGAAGGAAGGACTCACTGGAGAAGAGCCTGATGTTGGGAAAGATGGAGGGCAATAGAAGAAGAGGACGACAGAGAATGAGGTGGCTGGATGGAGTCACTGAAGCAGTAGGCGTGAGCTTAAATGGACTCCAGAAGATGGTAGAGGACAGGAAGGCCTGGAGGAACATTGTCCATGGGGTCACAATGGGTCGGACACGACTTCGCAACTAACAAAACAAAAAAAGGACACTGCAACTGTCATAAATAGGGGCCAGTTGCCAAATTTTGACCACCTGTGTGAATGCTGCACCAGTCTTAAATGTGAAACACAGTTGGAAATCACATTTTTCAGTGCCACTGTAACTTCAAAAGTTCACTAAATGAATGGTTGAAAGTCAAGGACTTCCTGTAACCCACTACCAAGAAAATTGAATTCCTTTCAAAATATTACTGGGTTTTTACAAGAAATAACAACCAGAATTCACTTCTGTCTTTCAGATAATATCTTGGGCTTCCCCTTTTTATATCTGGCAGTCAGATCCCTTTCTTTTCCTTGAAAACCAGAGATTTTTTCCTAAAAACCAAATCTGGTTTCAGTTTCAAGATCATGGTGAGTCATAAGCAAAGAGAGTGGAAAGAAAACGAAGGCTACGTTCATTGTCTGATAATTTTTTTTTAAAAAAAAACTTTTTAGTTAATTAGCTTTTTTCCTAAATGCAAATCAAGGAGGAACTATTAGAACTATTAGATATAAAAAAGATATTGAGACTCTTGAAAGAGTACAGAGAAGATAATTAATAAGGTGACCAACTTTTTTACAATGAAAAGGAGGACACAAATAAATTGAAGAAAAAAAATATCGTAAATAAAAGAAACATTTTACTCATTGCAACAATAATACAGACAACTTGCATGTGCAAAGTTTCCCAGCCGGGTGTTTTGGCGCACTCAGCAGCAATTCCTATGGGCTTTCGAAAGCCAATAGCAGGAGTAGCACAGCTCATGCAAAAGTTGAAAAAAAAACATCAAAAAAAGGTGCCGGAATGCCATTCTGAGCGTTCTATGAGGGGAAAAAAGCCCTGCAGATTAGTCTTCAAATATCGAAAAGGAGGACATGAAGGAGGACACTTTTTTAGGGAGGACAGAACTTACAAAAGGAAGACTGTCCTCCCTAAAGGAGGACGGTTGGTCACCTTAAAAATTAAGATGATTGGGGGTTGGAGGCTAAAACATTCGAAGATCGGTTGCAGGAACTGGATATGTCTAGTCTGCTCAAGCAGGAGACCCTACTATGCCATTTCAGACAAATGGTTGTTCAATTTCTTCTTTAAAACTTCCACTGTTGGAGCATTTACAACTTCTGGAGGCAGGTTGTTCCACTGATTAATTGTTCTCACTGTCAGGAAATTTCTCCTTAGTTCTAGGTTGCTTCTCTCCTTGATGAGTTTCCATCCGTTTCTTCTTGTCCTGCCTTCAGGTGCTTTGGAGAATAGCTTGACTCCCTCTTCTTTGGGGCCACCCCTGAGATATTGGAACACTGCTATCATGTCTCCCCTTGTCCTTCTCTTCATTAAACTAGATATACCCAATTCCAGCAACCGTTCCTTATATGTTTTAGCCTCCAGTCCCTTGATCATCTTTGGTGGTCTTCTCTGCACTCTTTCCAGAGTCTCAACATCTTCTTTACATCGTAGTGATCAAAACTGGATGCCATATTCCAAGTGTGGCCTTACCAAGGCGTTGTAAAGCAATATTTCATGAGATTTTGATACTATCCCTCTGATGGCCTTCTCGGATACTTCCCAATACAGCTCGGAGGTGGATGAGCCAGTCCCAGGCACGTGGGGGGGGGAGGGCATGACAGCATGTCCGGAGGTAGCACCAAGCCAGGACCAAGCGTGGTGGAGCAGTTGCAGGGGGAATGACCAGATGAGCAGCTGGCTGAATGTGGGACAATTGAGGCACAGTTGCAGCAGGACAGCCCTGAGACTTCGGGTGGAGAGAGCCTTGGCAGCAGCATGGATGAGGAAGAACTGCTTCTTCCACACAATCTAAGAGCACACAGAGCAGAGAAGAGGCAGGAGCAACTGCGGTCAGCCCAGCTACCTGTGAGGCAGAATAAACGAATGCTAGCAAACTGAGGATTACCTGTATTTTTTTAGCTTATGAAAAAATACAGAAAATTATAAAAATGAATTCTTTTATTTTATTATTTAGTATCAGTCATATTTGTTTGCTTTATCACGGCATAAAACCAGGACAACTATAGCCAATGAAAGCAACCAGAGCAGTATTTTTCAAACTTGGCAACTTTAGGATGCGTGGACTTCACTTGAAAAACAACGACTAGAATAATAACGACAGCACGTAGACTTATATACCGCTTCACGGTGCTTAACTGTCCTCCCTAAGTTGTTTGCAGAGTCAATATATTGCCCCCCCCCAATGATCTGGCTCCTCATTTTACTGACCTCGGAAGGACGTATGGCTGAGTCAACCTTGAGCTGGTCAGGATCAAACTCCTGGCGGTTGGCAGAGTTAGCCTGCAATACCGCATTCTAACCACTGCGCCACCACAGCTCTACACTCATAAAAAGGTGAATTAAACTGAGCAAAAAGTCTCGAGTGGTACTTTGTGCCAAACCATGGTTTATTTATTTGAATAAAGCACAAACCATTTTTTTAATACATGGTGACGGCAGCAATATTGCTCTATGTACAAAAATGGAAGGATGTTTTGATTCCCACCATGGAAGAATGGCTACAAAAAGCTGATGGAAAAAGCGGATGAGGGCTAAATTGACTGTTTTGATAAAAGAAAAGAATACAGTACTTTTGTTTCTACTTGGAAACCACTTCTGATAAAGCAAGAAAATATTGGAATAGGATTCATATGTTAATAGAGAAAAACTTTAAACTAAATATATAAAAAAACCAGAGACTTGGGGCTAATACATAAAGACCTGGAAAAAAAGTAGGAACTTTGATGTCAACATGGAAAAAAATGAAATTTTGATTGTGGACTTTACCAATTAGATAGATTTCATGTTATTGAAATGGCTAGTTTATATTTTTTTGTAAAAGTAAAAAGCTGAGGTTAGAAGTTGATGCACCAAAGGAAGTTGGAAGTCAATGCCTTTTTTTTCTTTTTTTCTCCCTTACCTCACTTCTCTACTCCCTTTTCTCTTCCCCATCTTATCCACTATTTACTTTGTATTTCGATTGTATCATCTATTATAAACTAATAAAACTTTGAATACAAGGAAACCGCTTCTGGACTTTGTGCTTGAGGTGGAAAAAAAAATGATATTATGATTTTGGGTTTTAGTGATTAGATTGATTTGTTGGTGTAAAAATGGCTAGTTCATACTACTACAGAAATGTAAAAAGTTGTGACTTGATGTTTATGCCTTATTCTACTGTAACAGAGGGAGTCACGCCTTTCCCCCCCCCTTCCTCTCCACACCTCTTTTTCCCCTTCCCCTACCATTGTTCCTTACTATTTGCTTTTGTACTTTCATATTACGATGCAGTAAAAGTGCTACACTCAATTTGCCAGCAAATTTGGAAAACTCAACAATGGCCACAGGATTGGAAAAGGTCAGTTTACATTCCACCGGTCAGTCCAAGAGGAGATCAACCCTGACTGCTCTTTAGAAGGCCAGATCCTGAAGTTGAAACTCAAGTCCTTTGGCCACCTAATGAGAAGGAAGGACTCCCTGGAGAAGAGCCTAATGCTGGGAAAGATGGAGGGCAATAGAAGAAGGGGACGACGGAGAATGAGGTGGCTGGATGGAATCACTGAAGCAGGAGGCGTGAGCTTAAATGGACTCCAGAAGATGGTAGAGGACAGGAAGGCCTGGAGGAAGGTTGTCCATGGGGTCGCGATGGGTCGGACACGACTTCGCAACTAACAACAACAACAACAACTTTCATATTTTATGTTATAAGTGAATAAAAATTACTTACAAAGAAATAAAAAAAGCACAGACCATTGGATTTGAACAGTCTAATCCAAACCACATCCCAGCTTGAATGTAAAAATATAAAAATCCTGAACTTTGGATCATCAGCAACTTAAATTAATATGAAAGCTGCTGATCTGTCAGATAATTGCCTAAGGATTCCACAGACATGTCTACACATGTGGAGGGAAAGTGCACAATAAAAATGAAAGCACAATTTTTGGAAAAGGATAATTGCAGTACGGTACTGGGAAAATGGCACTACACTACCGAGAAAATTACCGTACACAACCGTGGGTGTACTATATTTGGGACCTAATGTAGAGAATGATTTCCTTGTTAATTTAAATGAATGGGAAGTGAAAGTAAGTAGGATGGGGATTCCCTGAGGCATAATACTGGGTGAACCTAAGCAATAAATTAGCTGTTCACCAATGCAAGAACACCTCTTCTCTGTCTGGATCACAAGCAGGAAAGGAGACTCAGCGCAGAGATGCTCAGAAAATCTTTCCTCACCGTCCTTGTTCTTCTGGCTTGTTGTGTGGCTCTCATGCAAGGTAAAAAAAAAATATGATCTAGTTCTTTTTGGGTTCTAGAAGGGAGGCATTTCCAAGACCCTTTTCCAGTTTCTTCTACTTCTCGCTCCTTCGTCCTTCGTGCAATTTCTTTGTGTAACTTTGTGTAACCTTTTGAAGAAATTTCCTGACAGTGAGAACAATTAATCAGTGAAAAGGCTTGCCTTCAGAAGTTGAGGGTGCTCCAGCACTGGAGATTTTCAAAAAGAGACTGGACAACCATTTGTCCGGAATGGTATAGGCGCAGGGGTAGGCAACCTTGGCTCTTTTATGACTCGTGGACTTCAACTCCCAGAATTCCTGAGCCAGCATGGCTCAGCTTGGAACTCTCCCTTTCCCCTCAGCATGGTTGGCTCAGGAATTCTGGGAGTTGAAGTCCACGAATCATAAAGCAGCCTAGGCCTAGGCCAGAGATAGGTAACCTTGGCTCTTTTATGACTCGTGGACTTCAACTCCCAGAATTCCTGAGCCAACATGGCTGGTTCAGGAATTCTGGGTATTGAAGTCCACAAATTGGACTTCAATACCCAGGCAACCCACAAGGTTGCCTAACCCTGGATAGGGTCTCCTGCTTGAGCAGGGCATTGGACTAGATTAGAAGATCTTCAAGGTCCCTTCCAACTCTGTTATTCTGTTATTCAGACTGTTCTTCTCTGTTCCTAGTCCTAGTATTTTTCTGGCTTTGAAGTGGGGAAAACACAGTTGAAAGAGTCTGAATTAGAAAAGTAACATTTGCCTTATTGGAAGAGGTTAGAGCAGTGGTTCTCAACCTGTGGGTCGGGACCCCATTTGGGGTTGAACGACCATTTCACGGGGGTCGCCAAACAATGCAGTCCGCCATTTTTTCCCCCCTTTTCCTTAGCTGTGCTACTCCCTTTTATTCTATTGGCTTTTGAAAGCCAATGGAATAGACTCTCTTGAATAGAGTCTAATTCTATTGGCTTTCAAAAGCCAATAGGAATTGTCCAGGCTGTCTCTGCCCTGCTGAGCCCGCCAAAAGTCCCATTCTGCAAACAGTGCTGCACCAGTTGAGTAGTCCTTGACTTACGACCGGTTGAGTAGTCCTCGACTTACGACCGGTTGGGGGTCGGGGCATTAAAAAGGTTGAGAACCACTGGGTTAGAGTGAAGGGAAGACAGCTGACAAGTCCATTAGGGGAATGTATTTGTGAGTGAAACCATACATGCAATCTATGCAATTTATCTATTGCCTCTATTTTGACAGATTCTTAATCTCAAGGTTCCCCTTTTAGGACAGATTCCAGTGTTTCTTATGTAGCATTTCAGGTATTTTGTAAAAAAAAAAAAGGTCATGAAAATTAGTCGGTGGGGAAGAATTTAGCCAGTAAATTAGCCATTGGCCAAGATATCACAACTAGGAAAGGAGACTCAACACAAAGATGATTAAAAAAAAAAAGCTTCCTTCCCATCCTTATTCTTCTGGCTTGCTGTGTCACTCTCACGCAAGGTTAAATGATTTGATTCCTTTTTTCTTTTGGTTTTAGAAGAGGGACATTTCCAAGTTCACCCCAGATATTCAAGAGTGGGTTGTCCCTCAGTAGACCCCTTTTCTGTTTCTTCTATTTCTTGCTCCTTTGTTCAAATTGCTTGTGTCTCCTCTAGGTCCTGTGAAATGTCTGTTTCTGGCTTTGACAATTATCAGTAATCAAAGTATATGTTTCTGAGATTTAGCTGGGACAGGAAAAAGTTTTTTTTTCATGTAGGTTGTTGAATAAGTCATAATATAGCTTGATTTTATTTTAGTCTAATGCAGTGGTTCTCAACCTTTTTAATGCCATGACCCCCAACCGGTCGTAAGTCGAGGACTACTCAACTGGTGCAGCACCGTTTGCAGAATGGGACTTTTGGGGGGCTCAGCAGGGCAGAGACAGCCTGGACAATTCCTATTGGCTTTTGAAAGCCAATAGAATTAGACTCTATTCAAGAGAGTCTATTCTATTGGCTTTCAAAAGCCAATAGAATAAAAGGGAGTAGCACAGCTAAGGAAAAGGGGGAAAAAATGGCGGACTGCGTTGTTTGGTGACCCCCGTGAAATGGTCGTTCGACCCCAAATGGGGTCCCGACCCACAGGTTGAGAACCACTGGTCTAATGCACAAACTCTGAGGGAAGGAAGGAAGGAAGGAAGGAAGGCAGGAAGGAAGGGAGGGAGGGAGGGATAGGCAAATTGGACTTGTTTGATTAGGGGAAAATCAATAATTACATTTTTTAGTGGCTGGAAACCTTCTATGGGCTTTTTGCTACAGACTCATGTTTTATGGGTTTGATAATTAGAAAGGGTAGAATATGGAAAGAAGGGAGCCACAATGTAATCTTAGACAGACAGGATAAAATATAAATATAATTATAACTGTAAAGATGAAAAGTCGCTGCTTTATATCTTCTTCTTTTCTGCCTCTCTTATTTCCTTACATTTGTACTGATTTCATTCTGTATAAAACTTTTCAACATTTTTTTTTTTTTTAAATGGATGGACGGACAGGTAGATAGATAATACCCATTACACTATATCATGATGATAAGCTGTAATCGGTATGCTGGAAGGCTTGCAAGCAAACTTTCTCATACATTAGATCAGTGTTTCTCAACCTCAGCAACATTGAGATAGAAGATGGACTTCAACTTCCAGAACTGAACTGCACTCATCTTAAAGTGGCCGGGTCATTGACTTAGACCAGGGTAGGCAACCTTGGCTCTTTTATGACCTGTGGACTTCAACTCCCAGAATTCCTGAGCCAGCCATGCTGAGGGGAAAGGGAGAGGTTTCCAAGCTGAGCCATGCTGGCTCAGGAATTCTGGGAGTTGAAGTCCACGAGTCATGAAGGGGCCATAGTTCCCCCATCCTGGCTTGGGAATTCTGGGAGTTGAAGTCTACGAGTCATGAAGGGGCCATAGTTCCCCCATGCTGGCTCAGGAATTCTGGGAGTTGAAGTCTACCCATTTCCGAGTGGCCAAGGTTGAAAAATACAGGCCTAGGCCAGGGTAGGCAACCTTGGCTCTTTTATGACCTGTGGACTTCAACTCTCAGAATTCCTGAGCCAGCCATGCTGAGGGGAAAGGGAGAGGTTTCCAAGCTGAGCCATGCTGGCTCAGGAATTCTGGGAGTTGAAGTCCATGAGTCATAAAGCGGCCTAGGCCTAGGCCAGAGGTAGGCAACCTCAGCTCTTTTATGACTCGTGGACTTCAACTCCCAGAATTCCTGAGCCAGCCATGCTGAGGGGGAAAAGAGAGGTTTCCAAACTGAGCCATGCTGGCTCAGAAATACTGGGAGTTGAAGTCCATGAGTCATAAAAGAGCCAAGGTTGTCTATCCCTGCCTTAGACGATTGCAAATGATGGGTGAAGAACTCACCTTCTCTATATGATCTCTTGCAGGGATGCCCTCCTTCAGGCGGGAGCGCTGTTTGTGCACTAGTTGGGAAGAATCTGTGAGGAAGAACCTTATGGCTACAGCTCAGTACTACAAGCCACACAGCCGCTGCAGTCAAGAAGAACTGATGTAAGTAGTTGAGCAGGGTCGTGATGCCTTCTCCCATAGAAGCTATCGAATTGCCAAAACTTTCATTGCCAAGTGAGACAGTTCCTAAGTCAGTTTTGCCCCCCTTTGCAATCTTTCTTGCCAGAGTTGTTAAGTGAATCACTGACGTTGTTCAGTTAGTAACACGGTCATAAAGGGAATCAGGCTTCCCCGTTGACTTTGTTTGTCAGAAGGTTGCAAAAGATGAGCACATGACCCTGGGACACTGCAACCGTCATATATACAGGCCAAGCCTCTGAATTTTGATCAAGTGATCATGGAAAGGCTGCAATGATTTTAAGTGTGAAAAATGGTCATAAGTCTCCATGTAAACCAGTAGTTCTCAACCTTTTTAATGCCGCGACCCCCAACCGGTCGTAAGTCGAGGACTACTCAACCGGTCGTAAGTCGAGGACTACTCAACTGGTGCAGCACCGTTTGCAGAATGGGACTTTTGGCGGGCTCAGCAGGGCAGAGACAGCCTGGACAATTCCTATTGGCTTTTGAAAGCCAATAGAATTAGACTCTATTCAAGAGAGTCTATTCTATTGGCTTTCAAAAGCCAATAGAATAAAAGGGAGTAGCACAGCTAAGGAAAAGGGGGGGAAAATGGTGGACAGTCTTGTTTGGCGACCCCCGTGAAATGGGGGTCGACCCACAGGTTGAGAACCACTTATGTAAACGGTCCCTGGTGCCCAAAAGGTTGGGGACCTCTGTCCTAGAGTTTTTATGATTCTTGTGGATCATATCCTGAAACCAGGATCAGAACAAGATGATCTTAGTTCATTTACCTGTCCTAGTAGCCAGATGTATAGTATGGATTTTTAAAAATTCCAAAGTTTCTCCCCAGATGGATGTGGAAATCTTGTATATGGTTCCCCCAGTTATGCCTGAGGTCTTCCTTGTTTGAGGTCAGCTGGTGTGGGTATTTTTGAGTTTGCAGCTGACAATCTGGAGAGGTGGGAAGGCAGGTGGGTCGGCTTCACCACAGTTGCACTGATAAGTAATGAAGAATGTTAATAACATCAAACAATCCTTTGTTTTTAATTTGCATATATGCAGAGTGACCCTCAGAAACAAACAAAAACTCTGTCTGAACCCAAACGGGAAGCAAGGCAGGACAATTAAAGAGGTAAGAAGTGATCATGTTGGTGGAACTTTAGCTGTGTTTGTGTTTTTTCAAGGACCAATAAATCAAGCTGGGCTGAGGAAAGACATTTTTTTTCAACTGTTGATTTCTGTGCAAACAGAGCCTCAAGCATGGGAATCAAGCATCCTGAGTAAAAGTTGTCTCAGATATTTATACAAAAAAAGGTTCTTTGTTATTTACCGCATGTCATTCTCTCTGTGACTTCATTCACAAGGTTAGCGTTCACACTTGGCTGATCACATTTCTCATATTTAGTACAAAATTAATCATAGCGGCTCCTCGAAACCTTATAAATTCTGTCTTGTTGACAGATATCTATGAAGATTCTCAATCATCCAGGTCAGAGTTGTCTCAAAGGTGCTTTTTCAAAAGGCAACTGGACTTTGATTTTTCCTTGAGGAAAAAGAAGTTTTGCTTCTCATCCAAGAAGCTCCATCAGATGATGAAGACCAGATGACTCCAAATAAATATATTCCTTCCATCCCTCCACCATCTACAGTAGCCAGAACTGATGAAGCTTCTTAGATGAGAAGCAAAACGTCTTCTTTTTCCTCAAGGAAAAAACAGTCCAGTTGTCTTTTGAAAAAGTACCTTTGAAAATCATTGCCAGATGTTTCCTCCTGTGTACCTGTGGCTTGTTTGTCAGTTTTGCAAGGGAGCCAGCAAAGAGAGGGGAAGCTTAAACAGTCCAGTGCAGGGGTCTTCAAACCTGGCCCTTTTATGACTTGTGGACTTCAACTCCCAGAATTCCTCAGCCAGACATGCTGGCTGAGGAATTCTGGGAGTTGAAGTCCACAAGTCATAAAATGGCCAAGTTTGAAGACCTCTGGCCCAGTGGACAATTGAATCAGTTCTAACTACAAGTGGCTCATTTCTACATAGTTCAGGTTAATTCCTGACTGACTTCCTCTACAAAACATCATTTGAGATCTTTTCTTAAGAATGAGAGTCTTTTCCTTTAAAAGTTATCACTTTTGTTATTGCTTTCTCTAGGTTTAAAGGGAACTTTCCCTGTTTGAAGGATTCCCTTATTTTATATTCTTTATCATTTTATATTCTTAGGCTTTCAATATATGAAGAACCATTACAGGAATTGAGTATGTCTAGTTTAATGAAGAGAAGGACTAGGGGTGACATGATAGCAGTCTTCCAATATCTAAGGAGCTGCCACAAAGAAGAGGGGGTCAAGCTATTCTCCAAAGCACCTGAAGGCAGGACAAGAGGCAACAGATGGAAACTAATAAAAGATAGAAGCAACCTAGAACTAATCAAACTTTTCCTAACAGTTAGAACAATTAATCAGTGGAACGACTTGCCTCCAGAAGTTGTGAGTGCTCCAATATTGGAGGTTATTAAAAAGAGATTGGACTATCATTTGTCTAAAATGATATAGGGTTTCCTGCTTGACAGGCAGTTGGACTAGACAACCTCCAAGATCCCTTCCAACTCTGTTATTCATTTTATATTCTTATAAAATGAAGCTATCAGTCAGAACATGGAGCAGAAGGATCAGAAGACGTTCAAGGCAACCTTTTGTAGTCTGAGAAAACTAATCACGGCTCTTACTTTCTATGCTTCTTTTACAGGGTATTATAAAGAAAAATAATGCCAAATAATGAAATTCAAATTGAGTTTTGGAGAAGCTGCTCCACAAATGCTTCTCTTCCTGCAGACATGTAATCAGCTTCAGAAGGACTCATAAGCTAGTTGGAGCCACCATCCAACAGTATTATCCTTATCAAGCTGCTGAGGTTTAGAAGTTAACTCCAAGTATTACCTGTAGGAATTTACTAACACAAGTACAAAAGCCATATAAAGAAGCAAAATGTCTGTGATTTTCTCTCGATGTTAACATCTTTGACCATGGACGATCTTCGTTCTTCCATTCAAACAAGCTATGACAATGTAATATTGGCATCCTTCATTCCTGAATATTTTATGCTTGTTATAACATTACAAATAGTCCTCAACTTATGATCACAACTGAGCACAAAATTTCTGTGGCAAAGCAAGGCCCTTAAAAGTGAGTTTTGCTCCATTTTACAACCTTTCTTGCCACAGTTCCTATGTGAATCACTGCAGCTGTTAAGTTAGTAACTCAGTCGTTAAGTGAATCTGGCTTCCCCATTGACTTTGCTTGTCAGAAGTTCACAAAAGGTGATCCTATCACCCTGGGACATATGCAATTGTCATATATACATGTCAGTTGCCAAGCTGACAAATTTTGATCACATGACCATGGGGATGCTACAACGGTTGTAAGTGTGAAAAGCAGTGACGGGTCACTGTTTTCCGTGCCATTGTAACTTCAAACAGTCACTAAATGAATGGCTGTAAATCGAGGACTACATGTATTTTATCCTGGTTATATTATTATAAACTTCCGTTCCTAAGCATGAACTGTGTGTGTTGTAATGTTGCAGTCCAAGCTTCACCATTTTCAGTAACATTGCAATTTTGTGTGCAAGTACATAAGTCACAGAATGGAGTTCATACCCCATAACACACCATACTGTCCATTGATTACTCTGTGGTCACCTATGTATACAGTCTACTATAATTAAAAATATTTCTTCAATATTTCAATGTCTCATTCTGTTATTCTCTATCCAACGTTTATTCACACAGTACGTCCTCAAAATACATTTAACCTGATTACTGAATAACCCCAAATCCTGGTTTCCCCACATACCTCAAATCATAAATTAGCCAAGCAGGCTGAATTACACAACAGAAACATCCCTCACAAAATAAATGCCATTGCCATTGTGGCAATGTAGCAGCTAGATTTGTAACTGATCTTATTCAAATGATGAGGCTTAAGGGTATTTTTTCAACAAATACAAAGCCTCAGGCTCACATCGGACATGATTTTAAATGTGTATTTGTATTTTAGCTGCAGTGTATTTTTGTTGGAATATGACATTATCTGACAGCTGGGGCATCTGGAGGCAGATTAAAAAAAAACTCAAGATGGCAGCCACAGCTGAGTGATCAAAGCCACCATTTTAATTTTTTTTTTTTTACCTTCATATCCTCAGCCAAAGGAGTGATCAAAAATTAGGAAATGGAGCATGGACTTTCCTTTCTTTCTGTGAAGTTAGGTTAAGAATATTTCCACTGCTAAGCAAGGCAGCTGTTAAATGAATTATGCGGTCATTAAGTGTATCTGGCTTCACCCATTGGCTTTGCTTATCGGAAACTGGCTAGGAAAGTCACAAATGATGATCTTGTGAATCTGGGATATAGGAATCATAAATCCATGCCAATTGTCAAGTGTCCAAATTTTGATCGTGTGACCAAATGGGGATGCTGCTACAGTTGTAAGAGTGAGGATGGGTCATAAGTCCCTTTTTTCAGTGCTGCTGTAGCTACGAATAGTTGCTAAAATTGTTGAGGACTATACAGTATGTAATCCTTCAAATTTTTGTGCATTGCTCCCTTGCGAATTATCTGCTTCTTTTTTAACTTGTCTATCAACAGTTATTTATTTCCTGATTTGAGCCATCAGCTTCAATGCAGCCCCTTCTAGTGTATGGTCTTTAAATGACATGACCCATTTTAGGTTCCTGTGGTTAAATTTGGAAACGTTCATTGTTGTCATATGCATACAATATGTTTCTGAAAATCAAGATTTGTTGGAAAAATTATTACGATTGAAAACCCTTTATTTTGGGTGCTGAAAAAATAAAGTTAAGCAGTTAATCTTTCTCCTTTTTTCATATTGTCCATGTCCTCCTTTGCCATTCAAATAACTGGTAACCCTAACTCTGAAACACATTTAAATATTTATTTTTTAGATTTTTCACCATATCTTTATTACTGAAACTGAAATCAGCAAACATTCATAACACTCCTTCCTTCTCTTTTTCCCAAAAACTACAATGCTGGGAGTTGAGTTGGCCCAAAGTCACCCAGCCCCCTTTCATGCCTACAGCAAAACTAGAATTCACAGACTACTAGTGATTGGACTAAAATCACCCAGCCAGCTTTCATGCTTAAGGCAGAGCTAGAACTCACAGTCACCTGGTGATCGGACCAAAGTCACCCAACTGGCTTTCTTGCATAAGGCAGTACTAGAACTCACTGTCTCCTGGTGATTGGACCAAAGTCCAATCGTGCCGAAGTTGGAACTAGAACTCACTACCTCCTGATTTCTATGCTGGTGCCTTAACCACAAGAGCAAACTGGCTAGGATACAATACTGATATGCTCTTCCTTGAAAAAACATGGACAAGATATAAATCTAAATCAAGAAGCTCTCTTCTGTTCCAGCTGTAGCTATTTTGGGCTGAATTGTGATCGTAAGGCATATGAACCAGTTGCAAAGCATCCAAATTTTAATCACATGACCAAGGAAATGCTGCAATAGTCCTAAGTATGAAAAATAGCACTAGCACTTAGACTTATATACCACTTCATAGTGCTTTATAGCCCTCTCTAAGCAGTTTACCGAATAGTCGTACGTCAATTTTTTCAGTGGCCTTGTAACTTTGTCACTAAATGAAGTCTGGTAAGTTGAGGATTAGTGTTCTGTCCCAGCTACGTGAGTCCTTGTTAACTCACAAGGACAGACCCCTCTTTTAACAAGTAGGCTGGAAATGCAGGAAAAACAAACCCCTTTTATTAATTATGTACAGACTTGCAAAATGTCCCAAAAGCAAAGGCAAACAAAACACGATGCAAACGGAGAATTATTCAAAGGCAAACAACACAATTCAAATGAAGAATTGTCCCAAGGCAAACAGAACACGATTCAAATGGAAAATTGTTCACAGGCAAGGCAAACAGAATATAATTCCATGAAACTTGAGTCCTTTGCAAACGGTTGCCCTCAGCAACCAGTATCGCCCACACCTTCCCTTTTTATTATGCAGCCCAAAGGCATGGCTTCTCAATGCCTTCTCCTCCTCCCTTGGAGTTACCCCATTGCCTCCCTCTATCCTGCTCTTGTTGCCTGTCTGCGTTTGCAAGCGTCTATGGCGTCTTCCAGCTGTGAGTCCTCAGAGTCTGACTCAGCTTCCCCCGCACAGCTGGGTCTCAGCCTGAGCACGATTGGAGGGGCCAGGCTCTTCATCAGATTGTAAGTCCTGGAGCTCATCAGAGCCTTCCTCCAGTTCTCCAGGCCCCTCCTCCTCCTCCTCCTCCTCTGATTCCCCGGGTCCAGCTGCCGGGTCCACTGGCTGGCACGGACTCACAACAACTAGCTGTAGTTTCAATACACAATTGCAAAGGTAGAAATTTCCAGGTTCCCTAGCAGTCCTCAACTTACGACCACAACTGAGATGTTTTGTTGTGGTGGTTAAGCAAGTTGCTTGTTAAGTGGGTCGTGAACAATTTTGCAACCTTTTTTTGCCATAGTTTTTAAGCTAATCGCTGCAGCCGATAGCAAATATGCAGTTGTTAAATGAATCTGGCTGCCAGAGTCAACCTGGAAAGGTCACAAAGGGCAACCACATGACCCCAGGACAGTGCAACTGTCATAAATATATGCTGGCTGCCAAGCACTCAAATTCTGATCACATCACGGTGAGGATGATGCAACCGTTGTAAGTGTGAGGACTGGTCGTGTCACTTTTTTCAGAGCCATTGTAACTTTGAATGCTCACTAAATGAATAGTTTCTAAGCTGAGGATTCTCAGTAACACATGGACTCTCAGTTTCCTCTTTGCCTCCAGGATTGACCGCAGATGGTCGATTTGCAACCGTTCATTTAATGACCGTTTAAAGCTACAACTGCAATAAAAAAGTGACATTTTTCAAACTTAGGACCGTTGCAGCATCCCCAGGGTCACGTGATCAAAATTTGGCTGCTGGGCAACTGGTTCATATTTATGACGGTTGCAGTGTCCTGGGGTCACATGATCCCCCTTTGCAACCTTCTGAAAAGCAAAGCCAATAAGGAAGCCAGATTAACAACCGTGCTGCTAACTTAGCAACTGCAGCGATTCGCTTAACAAATGTGGCAAGAAAAATCATAAAATGGGGCAAAATTCACTTAACAAATTTCTCACTTAGCAACATAAATTCTGGGCTCAGTTGTGATTGTAAGTTAAGGACTAGACAAGAAACCATGGATGGAAAGTAATTAAGGAGAGAAGCAACCTGGAGTTAAGGAGGAACTTCCTAACAGTGAGGACAATTAACCAGTGGAACGGCCTGCCTCCAGAAGTTGTGGAAGTTTTTAAGAAGAGATTGGATAGCCACTTGTCTGAAATGATATAGGACAGTGGTGGCGAACCTTTGGCACGCGTGCCAGAGGCGGCACTCGGAGCCCTCTCTGTGGGCATATGTGCCGTTGCCCCAGCCTCACCTCCCCCCAGGACCCCTCACCAGCAGCCCCCCTGGAGAAGTCGCCTCCAAGCGTGGCCCACACGGAGCAGCGCAGCCAAGGACATGGCAGCCAGGCAGCGTAGACAAGACTCTGCCCTCATGCCCCATCCCACACAGTTGATGCTGCGGGGCGCAGGCAGAGGGCTGGGCTGCCTGGGTGATCTGCAGTGGGCCCTGGGGGCGGTGAGTGGCCCTGTGGGCAGGTGGGGTGGGGGAATGGGGTGGGGGCGGGGGCGGGGTGGGGCGGGGCGGGGCGGGGGGTGGAGCAGGGGTGGAGCCAGTTTTTGGGCACTCGGTCTCTAAAAGGTTCGCCATCACTGATATAGGATCTCCTGCTTGAGTAGGGGGCTGGACTAGAAGATCTCCAAGGTCCCTTCCAGCTCTATTCTGATTGATTGATTGATTGATTGATTGATTGGGTCATGTGATCATCTTTTGTGACCTTCCCAGCCAGCTTTCAACAAATAAAGTCAATGGGGGGAAATCCATATTCCTTTAAGGACCAAATGATTTACTTAACAGTGGCAAGTGATTTACTTAACAACTGTAGCAAAAAGGTTCATAAAATCAGACACAACTCACTTAAGAATTGCTTTGCTTAGCAACAGAAATTGTGGTCCCAAATGTGGTTGTTATGTCAAGACTACCTATACTGGCAGGTCCTCAAACGGATCAAGATTTGGAAGATGTTGACACCTCCAACTCCATTGTTATCGATGAAGAAAAAAAAAATCACAATTCCAGGACATTGAGGAAAGCAGCACCCTAACATATCCCGAGAAATAATTTGGAAGGTGGAATTCATCTGTTGATCCTGCTTGCCTGAATAGTCATCACATGATTTGTTGCTTGAACCAGCAACTTAAACAAGTAATGCACTCAAAGACTGATGGAAAAGAAATATGGGAGGGCTATCACCAGAGTCTCACAAGGAAATGCCATACAGGTGACTTTTGCCCCATTTTATCACACTTGACAAGTGAATCACTGCAGTCATTCAGTGAATAACACCGTTGTTAAGTGAATCTGACTTCCCCATTGACGTAGCTCAGGGGTCTTCAAACTTGGCCCTTTCATGACTTGTAGACTTCAACTCACAGAATTCCTGAGCCAGCCATGCTGAGGGGAAAGGGAGAGGTTTCCAAGCTGAGCCATGCTGGCTCAGGAATTCTGGGAGTTGAAGTCCACGAGTCATAAAGCGGCCTAGACGTAGGTCAGAGGTAGGCAACCTTGGCTCTTTTATGACTCGTGGACTTCAACTCCCAGAATTCCTGAGCCAGCCTAGCTCAGCTTGGAAACTCCCTTTCCCCTCAGCATGGCTGGCTCAGGAATTCTGGGAGTTGAAGTCCACAAGTGATAAAAGGGCCAAGTTTGAACACCCCTGACTTAACTGGTCAGAAGACGGCATGACATTGGGATACTGCAACCGTCATAAATATGAATCAGTTGCCAAGCAGCCAGATTTTGACCATGTGACTATGGGGATGCTACGATGGTCTTGAGTGTGAAACATAGTCATAAGTCACTTTTTGCAGTGCTGTTGTAACTTGGAACGGTCACTAAATGAATGGTTGAAAGTCCAGGACTTCTTGGAACCCACTACCAAGTAAATTGAATTCCCCTTCAAATATTGCTGGGTTGTTACAAGAAATAACAATCAGAATCCACCAATGGTCTTTCAAAGAATATCTTGGGCTTCCCCTTGATTTATCTGGCAGTCAAATTCCTTCCTTTTCCTTGAAAACAGATATTTCTCCTAAAAGCCAAATTCAGTTTCCGTTTCAAAATCATGGTGAGTCATAAGCAAAGAGAGAGGAAAGAAAAAGGAAGGCTGCGTGGTCCGACTTTTTTTAAAAACAAAACTAAATGGCCAGAATTAGTTAATTAGATTTTTTTCCCCATAAGTGCAAATTAAGGGGGAACTATTAGATATAAAAATGACTCTGGAAAGAATGCAGAGAAGAGAAGTTAAGATGATTAGGATGCTGGAGGCTGAAATATATGAAGAACTGTTGCAGGAATTGAGTGCTTTGGAGAATAGGTTGACACCCCCTCTTCTTTGTGGCAGCCCCTCAAATATTGTAGACAAGATTGTCTAATGAAAACAAGGACTAGGGGTGACATGATAGTAGTCTTCCAATATTTGAGGGGCTGCCACAAAGAAGAGGGGGTGTCAACCTATTCTCCAAAGCACCTGAAGGCAGGACAAGAAGCAATAGATGGAAATTGAATCAAGGAGAGATTTAACCTAGAACCAAGGAGACATTTCCTGTTAGTTAGAACAATTAATCAGTGGAACAACCTGCCTCCAGAAGTTGTGGGTGCTTCACAACTTTTAAGACGAGATTGGACAACCATTTATCGAAATAGTATAGGGTTTCCTGTCTGAGCAGGGGGTTGGACTAGAAGACCTCCAAGGTCCCTTCCAAGTTTGATGATGATAATGATGGGCTCATTTAGGTAGTATTGATAGTTTGATTTTGGCTGGTCAAAGGCTGATATGTGTTTCCCCCCCCCCCATAAAAGTTGGATTCAGTAAAGCATTTTTTAAATTTAGGTTTCCTTCCCTTTTAATTGTGATTATGTTTAAGTTATCAACTTGCACAGAGTTTCTATTCAGCACCCCTAATATTTCTTCTGTCCTTCTTTATCGTGAGCGGCCCTTAAAAACTTTGCTTGGCCCCTTCACATTCTTTTTTTTTTTTTTTTGGCAAAGTTTAACATTTCCCCCCTCATTCCATTTCCCCCCCAAGACTGTGTTTTCTCTCCTTGAGAACTTCATCAAGTACATATCCAGGACAGGGTTTTTCAAACTTGGCAATTTTTTAACATATGGATTTCAACTTTCAAAATTCCCCAGCCAGCGAGTTGAAGTCCACCCTTCAAAAAATTGCCAAGTTTGAAAAACATTGATCTAGGACAGGGGTCCTCAAACCTGGCCACTTTAAGACTTGTGGACTTCAACTCCCAGAATTCCCCAGCCAGTATGGCTGGCTGGGGAATTCTGGGAGTTGAAGTTCACAAGTCTTAAAGTGGCCAGGTTTGAGGACCCCCTGATCTAGGAGACCTTCTGGATGGAGACATGGTCCTGGTGGTTGGAGAAGACAAATGACTCCATTGTGGCAAGCCAGCTGGGAAGGTCGCAAATGGTGATTGTGTCATGGTTCGAAAGATGAGACCAAAAAGAAAGAACTCCAAGGCAAAAACAATTTCCTTAAAGAACATTTTTATTTGGCTACATAACGGCACATTCAAAAGTGAACCCAAAGCTGAACCCCTCCCCCAAAGGTTACAAAATTACAAAGTTAAACTTCCCACCCCAGTAGTGTGTCATAAACCACATTCCCCAATTAGCTACTTGTGCGGGCTTTCTAATGGAAACTATAGCCTGCCAAAATGCAGTTAGCAATGACCTTGGTTCCCATAGAACAATTTATTGTTATGTCTACGATAAAACACTCATCCCCCCCCTCCCAATTCGGTGGCAACCGAAAACGAAGGGAAGATGGCTTCAGCTAATCTCGTTTTAGAGTTGACAGATCACATGGTCCCAGGACAGCACAACTGACACGAATACAGGACATGCCAGTTGCCAACTGCCCAAATTTTGATCATGTGACCCCTTTGAGATGTTATGGTGGTCACAAGTCATTTTTTTCAGTACCATTGTAGTTATGAACGGTCGTTAAATAAATGGTTATAAGTCAAGTTTTTAAGAAGAGATTGGACAACCATTAGTCTGAAATGGTATAGGGTTTCCTGTCTGAACAGGGGGTTGGACTAGAAGACCTCCAAGGTCCCTTCCAACTCTGTTATTCTATTCTATTCTGTTCTGTTCTGTTCTACTCTATTCTGTTTATATTCTGTTCTGTTCTATTCTGTTCCAGTCTATTCTGTTCTAGTCCTGTCCTATCCTATCCTGTCCTGTCCTGTCCTGTCCTGTCCTAGACTAGACTAGACTAGACTAGACTAAACTAGACTAGACTACCTGAACTGTGTAATTAATGAATGTACTTGTTCAAATTTTTGACCAAGTAAATAATTTCAGCGTATCCCAGTGCTGGTGGTATATCCATGGTTTAGCAAATACACACCATGCCAATAATTGCAAGGTATCACTGCACTGAGTTGAGGGATAGTGAAGGGATTTTATTATGATTTTAGTATGTTTAAGTTTGACATTAGCATTTATTTGATATATAGTAACCATTTTATATTGATACATATAGTGTTATCATGTAATCATTGTTTTGTTATTTTGTAATCATTATTTTGTAGTTAATTGCTTGATCAGATGCTTTATATAAATATATTGGAAAAGTAAAGGCTTCATGCTTTAGGTATAGGTGATTGCTTATATGAAAAGAGCACAGTAAGGGGAGGGGGAAAGGAGTTACGGATGGAGCCTGGGTTGCTGTGTATGAGTTATCATCTAGGAATTATTTTTTTGTGCCATCTTATGGCTGGTACCAAGACCTGATCTCTTTGTTCTGAAAAGGTATAAAAGGTGGAAGACATCTTTCCTGGTTGTTGCCTTCATCTCTCTACCAGCCACGAAGAGAGATGGGGTCACCCAACTCTGTTTTGATCAAAATAAAAGTTGTTTGCTTGCTGAAACCTCAGCTTATAGGAGTTTCTTTGGCTCTTTTAAATTCCTGAGTAATGCTGGGGCAATTGTGAGGTTACGTGGAAAACCTTACAATAGCCTACACTTCCCTTAATGGAAATTCTTGGTTGAGCTACTTCCAAGGTTATATTTTTGGGATCACACAATGCCAAGACACTGTAACCGTGATAAATATGAATCAGTTGCCAAGCATTTGAATTTTGATCACGTGATCATGGGGATGCTGAAATGGACGTAAGTGTGAAAAACGGTCATAAGTTGCTTTTTTTCAGTGCCGTTGTAACTTCGCACGGTCACTAAATGAACTGTGATAAGTCAAGGATTACTTGTACAGGGCAGCAAAGAGGAAGAGAGAGCTTGTGTCAAGATTTTAAACAGAACTGAAAGTGAAAGTTTCCCATTTCCTAAAACAGGAACTTTTTCCAAGTATTTGCAGTCAAGTGGGACTTTCCCTGAAGCAATTCAAATAACCAATCAGCTTTCAGGAGGGAGAATTCTCTGGCTATAAATCACAGCATTTGCTTAGAGAGAATTAACACTCAAGGAACTCTCATCACCATGATGAAAGTGTGTGTTGCTTCCCTTTCTTTGCTCCTCCTGCTTGCAGTGGGACTGGAAGGTAAGGAAGAATTACAGCATTTGGGGGTGGGGGTGGGGCTGAGTATGTTTATCCTACAATGTGAACTAATTAATTCCTTAATTTCTGGAAATTAATTTCCATCCATTTATATTACCTATTGCATTGTTTCTCAACTTTGGTAACTTTAAGATGGGTGGACTTCAATTCCCAGAATTCCCAAGGCAGCAAAGCTTAGGCAACCAGCCAGGATGTACAGTACATATGTACAGACACATATGTACAGTAGTGGCCAAAATTGTGGAAATCTTTTGGGAAAAGTGTATTTTTGAGGTTGGGTGGCTAATAACACCACTTTTTTTTGGAGTAGTGCCATAACATTATATATCAATGGAAAGATAGTTTAATCAAGAATGTAATGCAACATAGTTTGTTCAATTATCTGTACTGTATTTTAGGAAAAGTTATAGCCAAATAGCCAGAAAAAGGAAGCACAACTTGCTTAGGTTGATATCAGGTAGCTTTCCTTCCTCTGATTGTAGCCAATGAGCATGAGTGTTTAGAGAGCCAATTGAGTGTCATCTTGTTTTGGCCATGGACCAATCAGATCACAGTAGGATTCAGTTATTGATGTTGTGTATTGAAGCTGAGAGGAGGACATTGGTCAGTGTGTTATGTGATGGCTATCGAGTTGTTTGGGGTTTTTTGGCGTTCTTTCATTGAGTGAGCTTGTAAAACATAATAAAATTAAAGTAACGGTGCAAAGACTTGACTGGTTGCCCAGAAAACGATGTAAAATAGTAGTATTAAGTGAACAAGGCTATAGTTATAAAGAAATTAGAAAAAAAAATGGGTGGAAACTTAACCAAAGGTGGCATTTCTACTGTACACTTTTCCCAAAAGGTTTTCACCTTTTTGGCCATTACTGTAGATAGCTGTGTTTCAAAATGTCTGCTGGGATTTGTAATCGCATTCTCTTGTCTTTTTTGCATGGGGTCTAGGAATGGTGACAATTCCCAGGAATACTTGTAAGTGCCAAACTGTATCTCCCAGGCCTATGCGATTGGGATTCGTGAGCAAGCTTGAAATCTTCCCTATTAGTTCGTCCTGCAACAAAGTTGAATATATGTAAGTACTGAATCCTCTCCAGAGCAAACCAAGGAGGAAAGGAAAAACAACAAAATCTGATTTATGAATATTGCTGCTATAAACAGAAGTTGGAGTTGTCTTATCTGCCTTTCTCCTTAATGTGTGCCTCAAAGAATGCACAACCATGTTTGATTTGGGATGGGATATACAAGTAGTCCTCCACTTATCACAATTGTGATCCCTCTCTGTGGAACATCCCTACAGAGATAGGACTGGCCTCCACTTTTAACACACTTTCACAAGACTCTGAAGACCTGATTCTGCCAGTGAGCCTGGGGACCCCAGAATGATATGCAGCTCATCAAGTAGCTTGTTTGATTGTTGTGGGGTGGGGTTGTTATTGCTTTTTGTATTGAGTGCTCTCTGAGCTTGGTTGTTTTCTTGTAGATGTTTCACTAGACTAGCACTGATGATGTGACCTAGTAGGGTAATGAAACGTCTGCAAGAAAACAACCAAGCTCAGTGAGCATTTATTTATTTATTTATTTGTGAGACTTATATACCGCTTTAAGTGCAAGCACTCTCTAAGCGGTGTACACCAGTAAGCAATGTATATATATATTTACATTGCCCCCAACAATCTGGGTCCTCATTTTACCTACCCCGGAAGGATGGAAGGCTGAGTTAACCTTGAGCCGGTAAGATTTGAACCGCTGACCTGCTGAACACAGTCAGCTAAAGTGGCCTGCAGTACTGCACTCTAACTGCTGCACCACCTCGGCTCTCGCCACCTCATCAAGGACCTCTCATTTCAAGCCTATAACTATTCTCCTTTATTGGCCTTTTGTATTATTTTTGGTCATGTCATGCATACAAATTTCATTGGATAAGGCAATGATGCTAGGAATGGTTAGTGGAATAACAAGAAGGGGCAATCAAAGAACACGCTGGCTTGATAACATCAAATCCGATACAAAGATGAGTATCCAACAACTGAAAGAAGCTGGACTTGACAGGTAGCGTGGAGAGCACTTTCTTATAAACTTTCCAAGAGTTGGACACAACTGAATGTTAAAACAACAACAAATTATTTTTGTATTGAGATTTTTATCCTTGTAAGCTGCCTGGAGTCAGTAAAAATAAATTGGGTGGCCATATGAATTTTCTTAAATAGGGAGCAGAATTCCTGTTGCTAAGCAAATTGATAAGAATTGCACCTGATTTTACAATCATTTTTGTCACTGCTGCCACACTGAACAGGCAGTTAAGTCAGCCTGGTTTTTCCCATTGATTTTGAGGGAAAATCAGCTGGGAAGTTTGCAAATGGCACTCACATGACTGTGCAATGATGGAACCATCATGTACAAACACAAAGTGCTCGGATTTTGACTATGCAATTGTTGGGATGCTATGATGGACACAAGAGGAAGGACTGGCTGCAAGTCATTTTCTTCAGCGCTGTGGTAACTTTGGCCACTAAATGAATGGTTGTAAGTTGAGAACCACCTGTAAATGTAATAAATAAGGACTTTGTTCATTGTTTCCTTCTCTTAAGAGCGACACGGAAAATCACAGGACAACAGCAGTGCCTAGACCCAACTTCAAAAGAAGTGCAGAAAATGTTGAAAAATTGTAAGTTCAATCAATTTTATTTACAGTTGAAAGGACCAAAAGCAAGTTATAAACTTAATCTAAACTTGGCATGGATGAAACAGTTTAACAAGTAAAATATTTAACAAGCAAAATATTTAATAAATGTAACAAGACAGACTTAAAAGTGCAGCTCATTGATTTATTACTAAAAGCTTTAACTTCATAGCCACAGTTAGCAATTTGATTGTTGCCATTGTAATCTTAGGATTTTCATCTGCAGATAAATTTTATACATATTTATAAAAAAGTATATCTCCCTGGTTAGATTCTAAAATAGCCAGATGATTTCCTCCTGAAGACTCATAAAATTCAAAATTGCTTCTTGGTCTTTTGGCTGAGATCAAGTGTAGCAAAATGTAAGTTACTTCAGCTATTTGGAGTGGAGAAATTTTATATTTTACAATTATACTTGTATTTTATACTTTTATATCGCCCTCTGGCTGCAATAATTAATGTGAGCAGCAAGATTTACCTAGCACTGTGGTGACGAACCTATGGCACGCGTGCCACAGGCGGCACGCGGAGCCATCTCTGGTGGCACGTGAGCCATTGCTGGGCCGAGCTGTTCCCTCCTCTCCGTGCATGCGCAGTCTGGGAATAGGCAAGAGGCTATAAAAGGAGCAACTTTCTGCCGGAAGCAGCATTTGCTGCAGACAGCTTGGGAGCGAGCACAAGTTGGAGCAGACAGCGAGCGAGCGAGCAAGCACGAGCCGACAGCTTGGTGGCCACGCCCACTCAGTGCCCATGCCCACTGAGTGGCCACGCCCCCCGGTGATGCATAAGTGGGTTTTGAGTTGCAGTTTGGGCACTCGGTCTCTAAAAGGTTTGCCACCACTGACCTAACACCATTTAAATTAGTTACCAAATTATTTTTTTTCTGAGCTTCCACAATTCAGTGCACCCTGATTAACACCTTGCATTCACCTACCCAATTTTAAAGCTAGCTGAGCCTAACAGGTTATGCAAAAGATAACTGTTAGGTCCTTGACAGACATGGTTGAGTGTGTTGTATGAACCCAGCTATTAAGTATCTAACTCAGCTTATTTCATCTTGGAATCCTCCTCATCTGTTAGACTACAACTCCTATGATACCTCTTGGAGATACTGAATCTAAATCAGGGGCGTCCAACCTTGGCAACTATAAGAATTGTGGACTTCAACACCCAGAAGTTTTAAAGTTTCCAAAGTTAGATGCCCCTGATCTAAACTATTAACTATGTTTGAGCTTTGAATATATCTTCCTTGTTTTTCCTTCCTCTAACTCAGTGGTTCTCAACCTGTGGGTCGGGACCCCATTTGGGGTCGAACGACCATTTCACGGGGGTCGCCAAACAACGCAGTCCGCCATTTTTTCCCCTTTTCCTTAGCTGTGCTACTCCCTTTTATTCTATTGGCTTTTGAAAGCCAATAGAATAGACTCTCTTGAATAGAGTCTAATTCTATTGGCTTTCAAAAGCCAATAGGAATTGTCCAGGCTGTCTCTGCCCTGCTGAGCCCGCCAAAAGTCCCATTCTGCAAACGGTGCTGCACCAGTTGAGTAGTCCTTGACTTACGACCGGTTGAGTAGTCCTCGACTTACGACCAGTTGGGGGTCGCGGCATTAAAAAGGTTGAGAACCACTGCTCTAACTGTTCTGCCTGCTGTGAGTTTGGGATTACACTCCCAACAGGAACCAATAGGAGACAGCAGAATTATCCCATGTTATCCTATATGGAGTAGATTAGGCAGAATGCTTGCCTTGCTCATGAAATCTCAGGTTAGGTTTTACATCAGAAAGAAGAGAAGTGATTGGATAGCAATATACTTTTTTTTGACTAGGGGTGGGAAAGATCTCTTTCAGAAGAATCGGTGTCCAGGTTGAACTAGCCAAACTCCGGTTAGGGAATCTTCAGAGAGACATTTTATCCATCCTCAAGCAGTCTTTTACGTTAAGAAATGCTTTGTTTTACTAAAGGAATCTAGCACATGTTCAGGAGGACCTTGAAGACTAAACACAAATGCTATTTAGGTTTGGCACGCTTGAGTAGCATCAAACTGGCTAGCAGGAAGATGCTTCTGTAGCAGCTGTATTTTGGCTGGAATTAATGGTCCTTCCAGGAAAGCTATTTTCACCTCTTCCATTTTGTTTAAACCAGTCACAAATTTGAAGAACACCCAACCAGGAAGGAGAAGACCAATAAGACCTCAGTAATTTCATCCAGGCAAGGGGTGATGGTTTCCGTTGGATATCCCACACATGCCTCAGGAACAAAATTGCCTCGACCAAAGAGGACGCACATTGGTGGAAGTCTGCAAGCTTGTTCTGTGATGGTTTTTTTTTTTCCAAAGCCACATATTTGGTAGATCTTGTACTAATGTACAAGCTAAGGGCATCATGCAATTTACTGGACTTTATAGCATGACAACTTAGCTGTTTAAACATAGCCAACTCTGTTGAATGAACCAAATGATGGTTAGATAAGTGTTTAAAGCCAGTCTGGGAGGGTCTTCCACTTGGCTTGCACATCACACCAACTTTGATCTGGGCTAAGTGTGTATTTTTATTTATCAAATGTATATGTAGCACAATCCCAATCAATTCTGTATTGTAAGCCATCGTTCATGATTAGTGAACCCAGCCAAGTATGATCCTAAAACAAGTATTATGTATGGTTCCTGGTTCTGTTTGACAGCTAGCACAATCTAGTAGGATGGCCAGAATGCTTGAAATAATTATCCAAAAAAACTTTAATCACTACTGATGAGTTCCAAAAAACTATGTAGTTAATTTTAGATAAACAAGGACCTTTGTACCTACATTTAGGAAATAGAGAAGATATATAGCTCAGGATTGCACTGTTAGGCTGCAGAGGTCTTGTGAGTCTGGTTTTCTATGGCAGTTGCAAATGTTCATGGTTGCAAATTAGCAACGAGCAATGTTGTAATGTGTAAATACTAGAACACTCTACCCTTAGAGGTTAGATTGGCCTGGAACTTGCTAGTTTCTCTGCAAAGCCCTTAAAACCTGGATGTGTGCCAGAGCATGGGATTTATAGGTTAAGTGGCTTAAGCATAATTGTTGGCTTGCTGATAATCTTTGGTTTATTTTTTCAATATCCCTTATTGGTTCTTTGTTTCATTGACATCGTTTTATTGTTTTGAATGTGTGGTAAGCGGCCCAGAGCCACATCTGCAGAGTGGACAGCTGCATAAATGAATTTAGTTAACCACAGAAATAACCAAAGATTAAGCTGGAATGAGATCACGGTATTGGTCCTCTTTCTTGTTGTTGTTGTTAATTGCAAAGTCGTGTCCGACCCATCGCGACCCCATGGACAACATTCCTCCAGGTCTTCCTGTCCTCTACCATCTTCTGGAGTCCATTTAAATTCACACCTACTGCTTCAGTGACTCCATCCAGCCATCTCATTCTCTGTCGTCCCCTTCTTCTATTGCCCTCAATCTTTCCCAACATTAGGCTCTTCTCCAGTGAATCCTTCCTTCTCATTAGGTGGCCAAAGTACTTGAGTTTCAACTTCAGGATCTGGCCTTCTAAAGAGCAGTCGGGGTTGATCTCTTCTAGGACCGACCGGTTTGAATGCCTTGCAGTCCAAGGGACTCGCAGGAGTCTTCTCCAGCACCACAGTTCAAAGGCCTCTTTCTTACCCAACAATTAACCAGATAACAGCCCATCTTGCAGACAACAACTGCATTTAACAGGGCAGCTCACCAATGACATGTAACTGATTGTACAGACATTAATATATTTTACAATGGAAAAATCCCAGCTGGTAGCATTGCAGATATGATTTGGCCAGTAATGAAATATTTGCAAATGGAAAACTAAGCTTAGAGAATATAGCTTTATTGAATAAAGTTCTTTGGTTTTGTTGAACTACTTTAAAATATATTCTGTTTCAACAAAAATGTGCAAGGAATTCTCTACTATATATTCCTAAGACTTTAGATATGCTTACATATCTAGTTCTTTCAATCTGCTAAAATTAATAATGTAATTTATATTATTCATCCCACCTTGTGTGGGAATTTAAAGCTAGTCTCATCACTCCAAGAAATCTGTAGAAAAATTCAGTCCTCATTTCCATTTTATGTAGCATAGACAAAAGTATTTTCTTATAAATCAGTTCTAAAGATTTGCTTCTGTTAAATGTATTTTTAAATATATGAAACAGGTACATTTATATGTGAGATGATGTAATACACATTTGTTCTGTTCTTAAACTGTTACCGATATTGCTTACAGCTATAGGTGAAAATGTAATTTGTTACATGCACTCAGAAAAAATAAAATATCAGGATGCCTGTAAACATACGCCTGTTAATGTTTTAAAGAAAATAATTAAATTAAGAGGAAATAACTTTTTACCTAAGAAAACATAAATTATTCAATAAAATTTAACAAAACACAGACTTGTTTTATGGTGTTGTTCAATTATTAAAAGCAGTGTTTCAGTTCCCCTTTTACAAAAGGGCAACAAAAGATTTTCTTTTCGAAACTCCGGAAGCCAAAACTCCACCTGAAACATTCAAGTGTTGAAATATTTTGTTCCTTACCAAACTCATTTCTGAGCCGAGATCCAGAAAACAGGCAGAGTCATGGATTAAGTTCTTTATTCTTCACTGAAGAGCAATGACAGAAAGCTGTGACTAGGTGGCTGCAAAGGCCCAATCAGCACAATTTATATACATTGCAATCAGTTCCTCCTATAGAATATTTACCCCTTCTCCAGTTACTCATTTCCCTCTTCACATTATTCCATATAAGAAGCTTCCTTCTTTGCTGTCATCTTTAAGTTTTCTGAGCGGTTGAGGGAGCTAGATGTCTGACTATAGTTGTCTTCCGGAATCTAAGGGGTTGTCACATAAAATAAGGGGTTGATTTATTCTCTAAAGCACAGAGGGGGCAGGACAAGAAGTAATGGGTGGAAGAGTCAGGTTGTGTGAACAATAAAGTGTAAAACAGCCAACTAATCTTAAAATAAACAGACATGGCTCCTGAGCCGTAATAAAAGTGCAAATGACATTAGAATTTTGTATCTGAGCATCCAATCTATTATAAGGGGGACACGATAGCAATCCCCTGGTACTTGAGAGGTTGTTACAGAGAAGAGGGAATTGATTGATTCTCCAAAGCATCAGAGAACAGGACAAGAAGTAATGGGTGGAAGCTTGTTAAAGAGAAATCCAACCTAGAAATAAGGAGAAATTTTGTGACAGTGAGAACAATTAATCAGTGGAACGGCTTGCCTCCCGGAGTGCTCCATCACTGGAGGTTTTCAAAAGTAGGCTGGACAAGCATTTCACTGGGATGGTATAAGATCACCTGCCTTGAGCAGGGGGTTGGACTAAATGACCTCTGAGGTCCCTTCCAGTTCCTATGATTCTATATTCTATGATAATAATTAAGGATAATCCGTGGGAGGATCACCTTATCTCATTTTCCTGGAAAAACTACTTTCAAGTACTGTGAACAATGAAGTGTAAGACCGCCAACTACCGTAATCTTAAAGTCAACAAAGGGAGACATGGTCTCTGAGCCTTAATAATAATGCAAATGCTCAAATACAATATTCTAATATCATATCATAAAAAATATTTTAACACGCTGATGGAGATTCTCTACAACCAGCCATTTTGACACCATATCCTACACTAAGGCTCTACAAACTTGGCAACTTTTAAGATTTGTGGACTTCAATTCCCAGAATTCCCCAGCTAGTGTATTATATGAACAATATTGTATGGACAGTCACTTGTCTGAAATGGTATAGGACAGGGGTAGGCAACCTCGGCTCTTTTATGACTCATGGACTTCAACTCCCAAAATTCCTGAGTCAACATAGCATAGCATAGCATAGCTGACTCAGGAATTCTGGGAGTTGAAGTCCATGAGTCATAAAAGAGCCGAGGTTGTCTACCCCTGGTATAGGGTCTCCTGCTTGAGCAGGGGGTTGGACTAGAAGACCTCCAAGGTCCCTTCCAACGCTATTCTGATTCTGATCATAATGTGAGGGTTAGCATTCCTTAGCTGCTAAGGTTGAGAAACGCTGCTCTGACTTAAAAGCCAGCTAGAGAAGCTGGAACTCCAACTCCCAGAGTTCAGTGCGCCCGCTGGGAATTTTGGGAGTCGCAATGCAAGCAGATTATGAATGGCAAGGTGCAGTACGGCGTCTGAGGCGCTTTCGCGTTAGAAGGACGAAGAACCCTACGCGGCTGCCTTACCCACGTGACTTAACATGGCGCCGCCCATCGAAAGTCCCACGTTGCCGGCCCGGAAGAAGCTGCGCTGTTCGCCGTCATGGCTGCTCGCCATAACAACAAGCTGCCGTTCAACTTGCCGCAGTTGCAGAACTTGATCAAGCGGGACCCGCCGTCTTATACCGAGGAGGTAAGGAATTGGGGGGGGGGGTGGGCTGCCTTCACTGGAGTATACCCTGAAAAGGGGTCCTGCGTGGTGTTTCTGTCCAAGGGGGTTGGACTAGAAGATCTCTTGAGGTCTCTTCCAACTCTGTTATTTCTGTGGGGGTGTAAGCGCTTGGTCGATTTTGCAACTGAAATAGCAAGGGAGAAGATGCCTCTGAGCATATACAGAGTGACTTAGGTTGTGTGGAGCTATGGCAGCTGGATTGAAGATCAGCGCTTGGTGGTATTGCAGCTGATAGAGCAACAGAAAGGATGCCTCTGAGCATGTACAAAGGCACTACACCAAACAGGCTCTCCTCATTTAGCAAGGACATCCATTCCCTCTAGAGTAGTCCTCGATTTAACAACCGTTCACTTAGTGACTATTCAAAGTTATAACAGCACTGAAAAAAGTGACTTACGGCTGTTTTTTTCACTCAACCGATTTTTGCAGCAACCCTAAAGTAATATAATCAAACTTCAGATGCTTGGCAACTGACTCATATTTATGACAGTTGCAATGTCCCAGGGGTCATGTGATCCCCTTTCGCAACCATCTGACAAGCTAAGTCAATGGGGAAGCCAGATTCACTTAACAACCCTGTTATTAAGAGCTGCACTGATTCACCGAACAAGCAAGGTCATAAAATGGGGCAAAACTCAACTGTTTGACTTAGCAACATAAATTTCGGGCTCCATTGTGGTCGTAAGTTGAGGACTATCTGTAATTTGCCGCAAAATATTTTGTTGGATTTTAAAACAACCACTCCCTGTAGTTCCTCCAGCTTTTGTAATTTAATACCAGTGTAATGAAAGGAATGATAGAAGATGTGATCCAGATAGGATTGTTTTAATTGGTTGTGTGTTACCTCATTCCATTGGATAATATAAAACACTGGAAAGTTTTGTTTGCAGGCTCGGAAAATTTGCCATTCCTAGTAAATCCTAGAATTCCACTTCTCCTTTTGAATGGAGTATTCTTATTTGTTTTATTGAGCATCCTTCTCAATCCTTACTCCCAGTAATTTTTCTTCTTTGGATTTCTTCTAGTTCCTTCAACAGTATCGCCATTATAAGTCCAATGTGGAAATATTCAAGCTTCAGCCAGCAAAGCCCAGTAAAGAACTGGGTGAATTGGTGATGTTTTTGGCCCAGGTAAAATTCATGGTGTGGGGGGGGGATGGATGGGAGAGAGAGAGAGAATTTTGCTTGAATTAGTTTAAGCCTCCCTCACTGAAGGGAAAAAAAAAAAAACAAATTATTAAGAAAATAAAAATATTAAGGCTTCAGATAATTCAGATAATTCTAATGGAAGGCTCTAAATGTAAGCGAGTAAGAATAATCACTTCTGACAATTCTAATGTATGGAGCTCAAATTGATTTAGCAATTTCTGCTTGAATCACCATTTTGAATGTGGCTTTAACAATATTTTCAAAGAAAATTCTCACCATTCTTGAGTTGCAAGGATACTGTGGTGGAAAAAACACAGTGTGTGGAATAGAAGTTATATAGCAAGGAGTCCAATGCTTTAGATTCAGTTCCAAAAAGTTGGTTTGGGGTGGTTGGGATCATAAACATACCCACTGTTAACTTTTTAAAGCAGCTGCATTCTTGCCAGATAATGTCATAGAAGATAGCTGCACAATCCTAGGAAACAACAGGGGTACTTTGAAGAGTAATCTTCAAAACTAGCATTCTGTCCTCTGAAATAGTTTATTCCAAAGTATTGCTAAACCCTGTAATACGTTTTAGAACATGCATTCAGGCGTATTAAATGGAAATTGCTATGTAGAGAGAAAGTGTCCTTAGTTACTGGTACCCTCTTGATAGCAAACCTCGTTAGGGGAAAATATCCAGTTTGTAGTGAAACCATGGTGGAACTAACATCCAATAATTTCCAGGGAATGCCAGATTAGGGAAAACTGCATTGTGGATTGAATGTTATCTGTGGGACATGGGAATGGGAGAATAAGGTATTCA